CCCTCCAGTGTAAGGATGTTCGATAGACTAGGTGAGCCATGGCCTCCAACACCAACATCTCAGCCAACGTGGGGCAATGAAGACATCAAACCCCGTATTTCAGCCCTCCAGTGTTAGGATGATTGATAGAGTTAGTGCCCCATGGCCTCCAATGCCAACATCTCAGCCAACATGGAGCATTCCAGACACAAAACCCCCATATTTCAGCCCTCCAGTGTACGTTGGCTCTAACCCCAACATCTCAGCCAACATGGAGCATTCAAGACACCAAATGCCATTTTTTAACCTGCTCTCCCTGTCCAGATGCTCCATAAGAGAGTGATGCCCAACAAGCCCCCCTCCCTAAAGTCCATGGCCCCGGCACCTCCTCTTAAATGGGTTGTTCTAGCCTCCCAAATCCCATATTTCACTACTCCAAAGCAAGGACACTCCACAGGGAAGGTGCCCCAGGGCCTCCAACCCCAGCACCTTGGGCACCATGGGGCATTCAACACCACCCAGACCAGGTTTTTCACTCTTCTGATGTGAGAATGCTCCATAGGGAAGGTATCCTGTGGCTTCCAATCTCCACATCTCAGCCAATGTGGGGCAATTGAGACCTCAAACACCATTTTTCATCCACCCTCCCCACCAGGATGCTCTATAAGGGAAAGGAGCCCCATGTGCCCACATCCCTGAAGCCCCACAGCCCCAGCATCTCCCTCCAATCCCTCCAACACCTCCAATGCAAGGACATAGAGAAGGTGCTCCATGGTCTCCAACCCCAACATCTCAATTGACATGGGGCAATTGAGACCCCCCCCAAGTCCCAAGACCCCCAAGTTTCAGCTTTCTGATGCAAGGATTCTCCATAGGGAAGGTGTCCTATGGTCTCCAACCCCCATCACAACCAACACATGGCCTTTGAGACTCTCAAGCCCCATATTGCTCCCCCTTGCTGCAGAGATGCTCCATAGAGTAGATGCTCCATGGTCTCCAACGCCCAAACCAACATGGGGCATTTGAGCCCCACATTTTACCCCTTCACTCCAAGGATGCTCCATAGAGTAGATACTCCATGGTCTCCAACACCCAAACCAACATGGGGCATTTGAGACCCTCAAGCCCCATATTGCTCCCCCTTGCTGCAGAGATGCTCCATAGAGCAGATGC